TGATCAAGGTCTTACTAGGAAGCATACTAGAAACTTCCAGGCAGGTGTGTTGAGGCAAGTTGGAGCTAAACTCTGCAGGACACCGGCCCTCCAGGACCAAGTTTGGTTACCCCTATTTAAGACCATGTCCAGAATTTGAAGGTTCTGAAATGATGTCTTGCCCATGGCCTTGTCCCAAATGGCGAGCTTGATGTGAACTTACGGTCTCATGGCCTACGCTTGTTCTTGACTATGAAGTGCATGAGACTAGAGCAGGGATCCACAAATCTGGCCCATGAGATCCACTTTCCTGCAGAGTTTAGCTCTAACCCTAATCAAACACACCTGAGCATGCTAATCAATGTCTTCAGGATCATTAGAAAATCACAGGTAGGTGAGTTTGATCAGGGTTGGAGCTAAACTCTGCAGTGCATTGGCCCTTCAGGGCAAGATTTGAGGAACCCTGGACTAGAGTGTCCAATGTAGAGAGGTGCCACGTTTGGCCATACTGGTACAGACTACTACCCAACTGTCAACCTTTCAGGTTTTGGAAGTCTGGAAGGTTTTTACATATCTCTTACAGGAGTAGTTCGCTCAAAAATGAACATTCTGTTATCATTTACTGATGTTGTTCCAATCCTTGTGTGACTTTTTTTTCTTTTATAAACCCCTAAAGAAGAATGTTTTGAAGAACATTGGGTACCAAAAAACTTTGGACTCCATTGACTTCTACTGCATGCTCAAAATGACCCTGAGACATTTCTTAAAAGAATTTAATAGAGTTTTGGACGTATATGATTGTCTAAATGTAAATATGATTGCATTTAAGGGTGAACTATCCCTTTAAGACTCATTTCCTGCCCCATCAAACACCAACTTGTAGACGTTATTTTGGATTAGCATGTTCATACTGTTAAAATGCAGAGTGGAAATTGCAGTTGTTTCCCAACATTGAAAAGTCCAACATCCAACTTTTTGAAATGTTGGTATTCATTGAGGCCATGCGAACTAGCTTAGTTAATGCATTCACTTATACATTAATCGACAAGTGAATTGTTCACTATTATGTAACTATTGAAAGTTCAATGACATTTTTTCATTTTTGTACAGGCAAAAATTGTCTACTGTCTTCACTCTTAGTATTAAGTTGTGTAAAACTGAATGTCACTCTATTTAGGTTAACATTTCAAAAATGAAGTTTTGTATCACTTTTCTTTAAAAAAGAAACTTGTTTGACAACAGTTTCTGTATTACACTGTTTTTAGGAACCTTGTAGGTTTTGTCAGAACAGCTAATGACTTTCTAGATGTGAGCACTGGTCATGTTCAGTCACTGTGGTCACTCACTTGCACACCTTAGCAACTTCAAGCACTGGTAGTTGTTAATGCTGGTAGATGTTAATCCCATTGGTTGCTTTATCACTGCAAAAATGCTGTCAGTGTGAGCGTCCTTTAGAGGTACATAATGCTGGGCTGATAATCACTGTAGAGCACTTTTAATGGATTAAAATAATGTTTGTGATGTTCTACATGATGTGATTTTTGAACTTTTTTCAAGTTGAATTGTTAAAAACCCTTGTGCATGAGCCTGGTTTTTGTTTTCCGATGTGAGAGCCCCTTTAACGATGATTGAGTCCTTGCACACTGTATGATTTCATATTATTTTTACCATGGTATCAGGACTTGACTGAATGAGGTCTTTGTGTTTTTGTGAGAGCTCTAAGTGATGTCTGCTGAATATTTTATCCTTTCCGTGTGAGGGAGCAAGATGTTGATATTGAGTTTACAGAAGCAAGCTTGGACTAAATTTAGGTATCTTTGTTCTAAATGATGTCTGAATTGAGTCCTGCTGTAAATTTTTTACTCAGGAGCAGTGGTGCATCACATACAGCTACCATGCCCTGTGTTTGGCTGACATTATGGACCCTACGGAGCATCTGCCCTACATACTACAGTGAGATGAACTGTGCAGCAAATGTTGGTGTGATGGCTCTCTCTCGCCCATACCTGTTTTGCTCTCTTTACAGTGTTTGTGTGGCAGCACTGTTCCTCAAACATTCTGGTGAGTGTTTGTTCAAAACCTCCAGCACTATTCGGTATAAGTAAACATGAAACATCTGCAATTCAGCAATATATAAGTTGAAGAGAGTTCACCCAAATGAAAATTTGCTGAATAAATTGACTCACGTCATCCAAGATGTAGATAAGTTTGTTTCTTCATCAGACTTGGAGAAATGTAACATTGCATCACTTGCTCAGCAATGGATCCTCTGCAGTGAATAGGTGCCGTCAGAATGAGAGTCCAAACAGCTGATAAAAACATCACAATAATCCACAAGTAATCCACACCACTCCAGTCCATCAGTTAACATCTTGTAAAGCCGAAAGCTGCGTGTTTGTAAGAAACAAATCCATGAAGATTTTTTAACTTCAAACCATTACTTCCGGCTAAAATATGAGTCCATAAGAGCACGTCCTCCAGTTAAAAAGTCCATGTTGTCACATCAAAATCCATCCACATATTTGTTTAGAGCTGTTTTGGACTGCTTTTGGTTGTAAACGTTGCTTGGTCTGTGCAGATTTCTCTCGTGATTCAGACGAGACAACTTTTTACTGGAGAAAGCAGTATTATGGATAGACATTTGAAGTTAAAATGTCTTAATAATGGATTTGTTTCTTGCAAACGCGCAGCTTTTCACCTCAAAAAATGTTAACTGTTGGACGGGAGTGGTGCGGATTACTTGTGGATTATTGTGATGTTTTTATCAGCTGTTTGGACTCTCATTCTGACGGCACCCATTCACTGCAGAGGATCCATTGGCCTTAAAACATAAGCTTACCTTAACATTTATTTAAGTGCTGCTGTTTGCTTAAGAGAACGTGGATCTCGTTGCAATTCATGTTATGGTCTCCTCAGGAATAAGTTATTTATAGTGTATTAAAACGTTTGTGTTTTGAGTACTTGCTGATCTTTTATTCAGGACTTCTGCTGTGTTTATGGCAGAAACATGCTGTGATCCGTCTGATTGGACGAGCGGAGAGCAAAGACGGCCTGTGATTGGATACTGTTGTGTAATGGAATGTGAATAACCTTCTGTGTATGCTACAGAAATGTAACAAGTGCATAGAATGGTGTTTTCGGAAGGGCGGGGCTTAGCAGCTCAGACGCTGTCTCTGATTGGTCAGGTAAGATGAGTCTAAAGAATAATTTCTTAACTTTTCATTCTCCACTCCTTAATTCCCATTCAGCGTTTGTCAGAGTGTCTCCCAGCCATTATTCCGGTTTTAATTATTATCCAGACCCGCTTCTAGTGTACTAGTGCAGTGTTTCTCAACCAGGGGTCCGTGGACCCCTAGTGGTCCTTGACATAAGGCCAGGGGGTCCGTATAAAGTATACATTTTTGTATAAATTTTGTATATTTTGACATGACATGTTCCCATGAAAGAAAAATCCAATATAGCTGATGATATGGCCAAATACTGGACAAGTCAGCTAACTTGAATTATACTTGACTGCATTTGGTCCTCACAAAGACACAAATGATACGAGTCAATTTTGTTCTGGGGGTCCTTGAGGATGGTTCTGAATTGGACCGGGGTCCGGTACGCCAAACGGTTGAGATTCACTGTACTAGTGTCTTCACTGACATTAAATATCCTGAGGTTTAACTGCGACTCGAAGGAGTTTTCGGATTTTTTTTTTTAACCTGCGTATTTGCAGCAGGTAAGTTACTGTAAATAGTTTACATGTGATTTTGCGTTTATAATAAGCGGTGACATTCAGAGCTTTTTGACGCATCAGGTGAAAACTGTTTTGACGAATTATTAATACTTTAAAAAACAGCGTTATATTATTATTGGAGGGACCTTAACCACAACTATTTATTAGACTGCCAATCTGTTTAATTAAAACACTTAAAATATACAATTTATTTATCCATGTTGTTTGCACATTTTGATGGGGTTTTTTTAGGTGCTTTGTAATTATTTTACTGTTTTCACATAATAAAGTTAAATTAAGGTTTAGAAAAAAGTGCGACAGAAGTAAAAAAAAAAAATGTAAATAAATAACTTGAAATAAAAAGTAACGTAAAATAACAAATAAATAAATAAATGAATAAATGAATACCAAAAACAAGAACAAAAAACTAAAATAAATACATAAATAAACTGCTGTGTGTAATTTAAATTGTGTGTGCATTATGCAACATTAACATTCATTGCAGAACGTGTTATGATGCAATGTCAGAGTCAATGTCACATGGTCCAGTGATGTCACTTTTAAGGTCTCGTGCTGGCATGTGTTTGTTTGGACACTAAACACACGTCCCACAAAGGTCAGCAGTGACGCACAGTGCATGCATGTGAACTTGGCCTGAAGAGGTCACTAGGGGTCATTCAGATCAACATGCACAAACTAATGTTTAGTTACCATATGTGACCCTGCACCACAAAACCAGTCATAAGCGTTATAAATCACCTGAAAGCTGAATAAATAAGCTTTCCATTGATGTATGGTTTGTTAGGATAAGACAATATTTGGCTGAGATACAACTATTTGAAAATCTGGAATCTGAGGGTGCAAAAAAATCTAAATATTGAGAAAATCACCTTTAAAGTTGTCCAAATGAAGTTCTTAGCAATGCATATTACTAATAAAAAATACATTTTTATATATTTACAGTAGGAAATTGTCAAAATATCTTCATGGAACATGATCTTTACTTAATGTCCCAATGATTTTTGGCATAAAAGAAAAATCTATAATTTTGACCCATACAATGTATTGTTGGCTATTGCTAC